CTCCTGAGCAAGCACAACAGACAAATATTGCCGCAAACGAGCGGATTTGGCGTTAAAACCCTGGTCTGGTGCTGGGGAACGGGAATATGGGACATTTCGATTGATGACATGGCAAACGCCGACCACGCGAACATTGTATTTGTCGCGGAAAAGGCGCGCAAGATCATCAACTTTCGAGCCTACAACCTCTGGGGCGCAACTCGATAGGTCGTTCGTACCAACTTCCAGAATTACTATGTCTGGCTTAAAGTGTTGGACGAACGGAAGGTCATACTGCATAATTTTGTCCACTGTTCGGCCACCTGTGCCCTGTAAGTGAACGTATCCCGACTCAGGAAGATGAAAATTAGGACTCGCACGTTGATCAAATCGCGCGTCTAAGTCCTCACGTAAACGACGAACAAAAGAATGGCCGAGAACAAGGATTTTTGCAACAGACCCCGACATTATGAACAATATACTCTAGTACTATAACAATAATAATATTAAAAATTGAACAAATTAAACAATACCTGATTTGAGATAAACTTGATTTCCGATGGAGATGTTTTGCAGCCAACGGGCAGAGCAGAATGAACCGATCCCGCATTCTAGTTCAACTAAATACCGCGAACTCCTATCCGTTTTCCCGCGCATTACAATCATGTGATTACAAAATTCCCGGGAAAATCCCAGTAGGTTTCTATCTATTTATATAGTTCAAGTGCAGGAAGCAATAAAATCTTTATTGGTATGCCAATAATTCCTTTGTAAAGCTTGCATATTATATACCGATTTAGTAATATACAATTACTTTATGGTTTCCGTGTTTGGATGGCCTGATCCAAACACGCGGGAAAGTTGCGAGAGTTAAGAAAAGCGAGCAAAATCACGAGCCGAAGGCGAGTGATTTTGCCCGCTTTTCTTAACTCGAGCAACATTCCCAAGTGTTTGGATCATTCCATCCAAACACGGAAACCATAAAGTAATTGTTTTATAAAATAACAACAACACGATAGTCTTCCGTGTTTGGATGGCCTGATCCAAACACGGGTTTCGACCAATCAGAACACGCGTTATATACATGTTATTTTATAACACTAAACAAAGCGGCATTATATAGTTAATTGTCTAAATTATTTGTGAACTCGATAAAATATTTTGAAGAGATAAACAGACTAACTTGTTTAAATGCAGACCTCTTCTGTTCAAACGACTATAGTATTGGTATTTGTATTTCTTAAGAAAGGAATCTTGTTACTTGACAATAATTGTCTAAGTCTAAGATAAGGTTAATTTGTTTAACCTTAGTAGCCAATTTCGGGTAAATCATTCCTGGCTGGCTGATACAACGCAACGCTTGCTGTTTAGCAACGCTGATACACCCACCACAGTGTTTGGAGAATCCACTTTTAACTGAGGCGTCAGGTTTACAATTGAATCGGCAATAACTTTAGTTCTTAAATTTGTTATTATGTTTATTTGTTATAAAAAGTTATTTGTGCCGACATGAAGAATGACTTTATTCGGTGACTTACGAGTAATAGGTTTAATAAAATCTTCCATATCCTGAACGGTTGCACCTGGGAACGCTGTCACAACGTAGTGATGATCAGCATTATCATTACGCATGTATGCTTCAACCATATTCGTTACTAACGAATCACCAGCAATCACTACAACAACTTTCTTTTTATTCCGGGTTGAAGATTTACTTACGGTGACATTGACCTCTTGTGTTGCGTTAGCACCAATTGTTTTCTTGTCACGAGGCAAAGAATTACTAGGCGATGAGACACCGCGGGGTGATAAGGCATCATTAGGCAATGAGGCGTCGCCAGGCGATGAAGCGGTGAGGCACTCCGAGGGGATAAAGCATCACTAGCTGAAGGATTACGTTGCAATAACTTATTTCTTTCCCTTTGTTTTTCCTCTGTCTCTTTTTCTTCTCTTTTCACGCACTTTAGAAGTGGTGGCATCAGATACATTTGTTTTATCCTAATTTAATGACGAAATATTTGATAAGTTTTCACCTTTAACTTCGCTTAGGTTACAAGTTATTTGCTGAGCATTTCAACTGTCTTAAATAGAGAAGAATTTGAATTTACTAACTGAATTTACTAAGTTGAATTTATTAACTCTTCCGTCTTCCCCTTCGACAATTTACTAACTTCTTCCCAGCTTTCTTCTTAAGATTCGCGATTTCAGCATTTAACTTATCAATATCCCGTTCATGCATGTCACAACAGGCACAACAAGGGTTGCCGTCCACAGTCTCGGGAACAATAGATGTAATTTCTGCTTTAGACAAAGCTTGGTTGACAGGCAGTTTCGTGGTTACAAGGCTCGCCTAGTCCGAGCGCATTTTCGACCTGATTATTGTTACTGATATCGCAGCAAGAAATATTACTTACTTGCAACAAAGAGGGGCATAATCCTAGCGTTTCAGCAGAACTCGTATTATCCACATCGATGCTTTGCTATCGAAGCACCACTTTCTACCGCTGGGTGAACGCCATGTCGAACATTCAGCACAGTTTCTTCGTCGATTATTGTTAGACCAAATACCTTGATGACCTCGAGGTCTTCTAGAAATCCTTATCATGTTAATTTATTTTTCTTCTTGCCAAAAAAACTATATAGAGCATTAATAACTGTCGATGAATTCATTTTGAACAGGAGCTTAATAACACATGTCTTACCACGGCAAAATTTATATTATCACGGATCACTGTGATTATACTTAAAGTGTGAAAATCAGATTTGCTTGCAAACGTCATGCAATTGCTGTAGTATAAAATAACATCATCTTTAATAAATTATTATTGTAATGTTGGCTTCGAAGTGTTCCTAGCGAGGGCTCGACGCGGTACATTGTTCAGAACCTTTGAGTGTTAATTTTGCGTAAAATTATTTTATTGGTTACAATGAAAGCATTAGCGTAGTTCTATACTATCGATATCTGACCAAGTTTGAACGAAAAATGTTGAAAACTCGCAGAGTTATTTAATAAAATGCATTTCGCTGCAATAAGAAAAACATTGAAAATGTAATATTCAAATCCAGTTTTCTCACGAAATATTTTACGGTAATTACTGATTTTCAAACGAGTTATACTCCTGCGGGTTTTAAACAATTTTTCTCAAATTTTCACAGAGCATAGCGAAATGCGTCAGTTTCAAAACTGTGTTCGGATTTCTTTTAATTTTGGATATTTTAAAAACAACGAGCAATTCACTCAAACAATTCAGAAATATATTGCAGTCGTCAAAGAAATCGCCATATCAGCGGAATGACGAAATAAACAAATATTTCCGAACAAAAGTTTTTAGAACAAATATTTTACTGTATAAAAATGATATTTTCATAAATATAACTTAAAACCAGCAGAAGCACAACTCAAAAGCGTAAAGGTACCGCGATTTAAGATTTTCCTGAATAACTCTTACATTATTTTATTGCTTGTTAATTTTACAACTTTACCATATTTTGCATGCACTGGAGAACATTTGGTGAAAATTTGATGAATATCGGACTGATAGTAGCGATTTTCCGCAAAACGCCAAAAAGGGTGTCCTGTAACCTTAAAATGCACAGAACATAAAAATATGATAGATTTTAGTAACGCCATTTTGTTTTTATATCGGCCCTGCTTTTGCTATTGAAGACTTTCGCACATATTATATTTTTTCTTGTCCAGGTTTGTCCAATCTTGGATTGAGATCAGTTTTCCTATCTGCGCGTGCGCATTAAGTGTTTTGTGGTCAAGCGCGCATGCGTATTTGGAGCACAACAATGGCTGTTCATTGATTTCAAAATCAGAGGAAGCCTGAACTTTGGAGAGGTTGTACTTCAAATTGTGCAACTATTTCGCTTGGGGGTAAGTGGATTCTAACTAAGTAAGTTCTAATCTATCGATTCGTGTAAAAATTATGTAGTTACACTAGGAGTGCTACGGAATTGAACATTTTCGACCTTCACTGAACAGCATAGCTAATTTGCAAAATATCGTATCCAGCGTATTCGCATAATACATTTTTAATTGCATCTTACCCTTTAATTAATTACGCGGGCTACCTTGTGGCGTAGTGGTTTAAAGCACCAGCTTCCGAACCGTGGTTCTCGAGTTATAATCCCGTTTGGTACAGTTTTATTTTCAAATTAAAAAAAAATCATCTTTTTCTCAGTCTGATTTTGAACTAGTATATAGGTCTTAGGATTAGGAGTTAGGGCTGTGTGTGAGGTGGGTTCAATTTTTTAAAGAGAATATGTTTAACACTTTAGAACTAAATTTCCTAACTGCCCAGCTGCCGCACGTATTGCCCCCGAGCCGACGGCGCGATGGTTATTTGAATTTGTTATATAAAGTATAGTGCT